GTGGGGGGAAAGGGCAGGTGCTGTGAAAAGAGCCGAAGGCGAAGCGAGCGGGGGGCGAGGCAGCCCTCGGGGGGACCTGCGGGTGCTCCCGGGCCGCTGCCAGGGGCTGCCGGGGGCCTGTGGCCGCCTCGAGCAGGGCAGCAGCCGAAGGGCCGAGCTGCGTCCAGGGGGGATTTACTGCCCGTTAAACTCGGCTTTGGCTGGTCCTTGCAGGCTGGGGTCCCTGCAGGGCTGGCGCGGGGGGGCCCTGCCTGTAACTGGGCTCTCGGAGCGTTCCTCGAGGCTCTGCCGCTCCAGAGAGGCTTTATTAGGTAACGTGAATCATGCTGCATAATATTCACATTGTCAGCATAATAACTGTGTTCACCTGTTGTGATGCATTACATCCTCGCGTAGTAACAATGGCATATAAAACCTAACAGGCAATATTGAGCCTAACAAATCCTATACCTGTATCAGAAGTTACTGCTTAGAGAAAAGACATTAAATCCTGTTCTGGATGAGCCTGTTTAGCCCCTGCTGCTGTAAAGGGGGGACAGGCAGCTCCATTCATTTGCACATATGTTAGAGGCAGAATAGACTTGGGATCTGTTATCAGAGCATGAAGGGCTAAGCTAATACTGAGCAGCTTTTGATTTACTTTGATTTTTGCAATGAGAGTTTATACTGTGAGCGCTGCAAACTGCATGTAAATGAGGGTGATACTACCTGCCTCTGTCGTGGTTGCTGGATTGAGGTTTAATGAAATTCTTTGGTTGCCGTGCGTCAATCTGTTGTATTTAAGCGAGATTTCTTCCCCCTGCTTTATTTTGCCTTTGATGCAATTTTGCAACGCTTCTTGTTACTCCTAAAAGGGTCTTTTGGTGTCTTTGAAAGTTTCTTAATGCAGCTTTTCTCTAGACAGGATAAATGAAGATTAAACCTAGGCAGATAGCATGAGAAAACAAGCAGATGTCTTTGCAGGATCAGAGAGCAAGGACACCAGCAGAGGAGCTCTGAGATTTGTGTCTTTTGTCTGGTAGATCATGAACACCCGAATAAACCTTTTTCTGGAGCTGGGAGCACGTCGGTCTCTCCAGGCTGGGAGCTTCTGGTGTCGGCTCAGCTGCTTGTTTTCATAAAATGTGCAGGGATCTTCATAGTGCTGAGACTGCAACACTGGGTGTTCGGTGTGGCCGCCTCCAGCTCAGCAGCTCTGGTTCAGCGAGCAGAAAGCCTCGATCCCTGAGCCCAGGGAACAGGCACCCTCGGCTCAGGACGGGGTCGGGGGTCAGGGACATCCCCAGCCCCGAGGCAGAGCCCCCGTCCCGCGGCACAGCCCACCCGTCACAGGCCTTTCCCCACCTGGCTGGTTTTCTGCTAATGACATCTCATAACTTGATCATTTCCATGTTGTTTTTCTTCCCAATCAGTGGAACAAAATCAATAAAAACTGTATTATCAGTCTTCATTATGCCCAGGTTTGTTATGATTGTGAATTAATAGACTTTTATCTTGGCATTAGTCAGAAGGCATTGGCCTCTAATTTCCCTTTGAATTGCACTGGGGCTCTTTGTTTTTAAATACACTGTCTGTGAAGATACTCTGGTGTTTTCTGGCTCTGCCTGGGTTCAGCCTTTTATAAGCCTGAACTTTCCTGATGCACACCTTGGTTATCAGTTCAGAGCTGGACACCTGCAGTTGCTCGTGTAACAAGGAGGGTGTGGACAGAGCAGTGAAGTGTTCTGTGAACCAGGTCACTCAGCGAGCTGGTTTTGTGAGCACAAGTGTCCTTGGCAGGAGCTGTGGGGAATGCACAAATATTTAAACAGCTGCTTGAGAACAGCACAGCCCAGTAAATCACCCGCGAAATTTCCTTCCATGTCTAAATTGAGAAATACAGCAGAACACCCTTTTAGCTTAAAAACACCTTCCTCCAGGTTGTAATATGTTTGTGTTTTATGGAAAACTCTTTATCAGCTCTTTTGTGCGGTATCACAACTGGCTAAGCGTGTTTTGAGCCATGAGTGATCTGTGCTATTGCTGGTTGTGCGTGTGGTGTTTCTAGATGTGGAAGCAGTGGAGAACACAACTACAGCTGTGGCTCACCGTGGGCTGCGGAGCCGCGCAGGAGCCTGCGCCAAGGGCCAGGGGAGCTCCCCGGCTCCCAGCAGTGCCCGGGGGCTGCTGTGGGTGCAGAACGCTGGTTTGTGTAACTCCGGGGACTCTGAACTGCAGATGGTGGGGGTGTGGTGGGGACCGTCCGTCTTTCACGTTTGCTCCTGTATGAAGTTGGTTTCATTCCCTCGTGGTGACAGGAACAGCTCGGCTCGAGGCAGGGACCCTCACCAAGCTTGTCCTGTTCTGCCTGCCTTCTGTAACTGATTCTGCTTGTTGCCTCTCCTCTCTGTTGTGAACAGATGAAATCGTCTGACATCGACCAGGAATTATTCACTGAGAGTTACTGCAAAGTGTGCAGCGCGCAGCTGATATCCGAGTCCCAGCGCGTGGCCCATTACGAGGTAGGATGCTCTCTGGCACCTCAGCTCTCTCGGTCTGTAACTCCCCGTCGCTCCTGTTTCTCAGGGTGACATCAGCTGCTGCGGCCCCAGTAAGTAGCTACGCCAGCCTTTAAGTTCCTCTCCGAAAACTCAGGATTCAAAAGACCATTTCTCACTGGCGGTGTCTTATTCTGTAAATTATGTCACTGCAATGTTGTCTGCTGAATGTCTGGTTTTTTTCTTCCGTCTGAATTTGCAAAGTCAGGCTGCAATTTGAACGTGACTGAAAGCTAGTTTTCAAAGAAGCATAGTTAGCAAGGAGATCAATTAAGAGTTCAGCAAAATGAAATAAAGTTTTTCTATTAAATGTGCTGCACTGTGCTTTGCTGAATCACTGATTGTGCAGATAATAGTAATTGTGAATGTATTTAAGCACTTAAGAGGTAGGCAAGCAATAAACAATTAGAAAGGATATATTATTAGAGCTGTGTTAAAACAGCAATTAACAGCACTGCATATCTTCAAAACAAACTTAAGAAAATTCCTATTAAACAAGGGACGAAATTAGTGAGGGATATGCTGCTGTGAAATCCTTCAGGAAAGGAAACTCTGTCCCTGTCTGTGTCTCCCTGGGGCCTGGGAAACGGCACCGAGCAGCTCCGCAGCAGTGTGGTGTAAATCCTCGTCACGGTGAGGGGCTGCCCTGGCGCTAACCTGGAAGGAGAACAGGAATCTTCTCCTTGGTGTTCAGATGAGGAGGAGGGTGCAGGATCGCTCTGTGTGAGGGTCGTGTGCTGGCGTAGAGCGCAGTCGGTCACCCAGCACATGGCGTTAACCATGGGGGGAGCAGAGGACTGTCCTCCCCTGGTGACGCCAGCCTGTGCGGAGGGAGGATGGGTGGCACGGTCCAGTCTCTCCCGGGGGACTCCAGGAGAAGAAGGGATGCTTGTGGGGAGCCTGGGGGTGAGGGACGTTTGCTTAGCAGCGTCTTGCACCTGCTTTTGAGTGCACTGAGGCTGTCAGTGTCTGCAGTGTTTCATCAAAACCAGAATCTGTGCTGAGAGGCCTGGAAGGTGAAGTTTCCCAAACTTGCCCTGATTCGAGTGTTTAGCAGTAGATGTGCAGGGGAGACATTTGTCTCGGTGTGACCAGTGGAGATGTACAAGAGGCTTAATCAACGTACGGCATCGAGGATGCTGTGCTGCGTTAGCGGACGATAACGCATGTTTACTTGAAATGCACTTTATGTGTCTGTCTTGGAGAATTTCTTAAGACAACTCCTGCAGACGCTCCCCTGAGTGCCCTCGGCGAGCGCCGCGGTGGAGTCCAAGGCTGCAGGTGTAGGGACACCCGGAGCCCGCTGGCGGGCCGTGCAGGTGCCAGGTCCTGTCTACAGGAGGCAGAAGCCTTGCCGCAGGAACAGGGGTAGCGAGTAGTGAGCAGCAGGGTGCTCAGCTAATCTCTTCTCTTCTGCGCCTGGAGCTGGAGGTATGAGCTGAATCATTAATTCATAGCAGATGTTTTTGAAATGTGGAAAACAACACGGCTTTCTGTTGTATGTTTCTCCTGCGAGGTGCCATGCTCGTTTGTCATCCCCTGTGAAATCCCAGCAGATGCTGTAGATGTTTGGCACAGTGATGTCGTTGCTGAACCTCGCTTGCCGGGTTGTGGATTGCACAGCGGAGGGATGGGGAGGGCAGGGGGACGGGCCTGGCCCTGCCCGGGGGTCTCTGGTGGCCCGGGGGCTGCAGGTGGCCCCTGTCCCCTCAGCGGCCTCTGCTCTCGGCACTTCAGAGCATCTGTTCTGGTAAGGCACATCCCCCCTGTGCCCCACCGACCCAGCGAGGGGCTGGAAGTCTGCCCCGGGCTCTGCGGGGAGGGTGGTGCTGGGGGCAGCCCTGCCCACGGGATGGTTTCAGTGGTTCCCGGGGCCGCCGATGCCCGAAGCCGTCGGGCTGCCGGCAGCTCGACGCAGCATCGAGCCCCACGGGGCAGGTCCCTGCGCCCGTGTGCTCTGACTGCAAATTCAAATGGAAAATCGCTCTGCAGCGCTGGCTCCATCCCGAGGGGAGCTGGACCGGGCTTCGAGAGGCCTGAGCAAATGGCAGCAAGTCACTTGTTAAGTGAATTTGGCCTCTCTTTCTAGCCAGACGTCGGACAAGCAGTACGTGATTTCCCCATATACATTAACCATGGAGAATTATTGGAGAATAATTTCTGCAAGTAATTCTTGCTCTGATGCTGTTTCATAAGGAGCTTGGTCTGAGCATCTGGCCCCTGGACAGAGAGGGCTGCTCTTCCTGCCAGGCGCCTGGTCGTAAGGTGTTGCTTCTCCCTGATCGAGTCTGTGGGCAGAATAATCACTTTTATACCATCAGGATTTGCAGCATGACCATTCTTGTACAAAACCGTGGTGTTGAGTGTACCTGAGCTCCATCCTGCCTGAGACTGCCAGCCCTTGCTGCAAGCCAGTTAGCAGGAATGTAGAATTCACTGTTTCTTCCTATCAAAAAGTAGCTGGTCACAATTTTCTCACCTTTTTGTTTCTTCCCTTCTTTCTTTTACAAAGCACTCTATGCTCAAAAGGGATTTTTTTCATAGGGAAAATATTAACTTCAGAAGACTAAATTTTCTGCAAATAAATTTTCATTTAATCTTCTGCAGTTGCTTTGTTTTGATTAAAAAAAATACTGTCACTATCAAAGCACACAGTAAAAGCACAATGTAAATGAACTTTTTGCACAGAGCAAAGCTTTTTGTTTGGAATTGACTTGAACTTCATGGAGAAAAGTGAAGCACTGCAGAGTAGAAATTCCGTACCGGTGTGGTGTGTGAAGCTGAACCCAAACAGTTCAGCATTTCCACCCGGCTCGGTGCGCCCGGTGGTGTGGGGAGCAGCTGGACCCCCTGTGCTCCAGGGCCTGCGTTTCCCTTGGTTTTCTGAGGGAGGACCCACTGATGGGGAACACCCGGGGCCGCCCCTCGGTGTTGGTGCAGCCCTGGGGCTCGGGGCTGGGGCTCTGCCCGCACAGGGGGTGCGGAGCCTGGAGCTGGGGAGGTACCTGCCCAAGGCCCTGCGGGAAACCATCGGTCGGGCGCTGGCGACGCCTGTTCCTCCGTGGCGTGGTTTGTTTTGGGCAGCAGCACCCTGGCCCTTAGAGCCCGAGCCTGGAGAGAAAGGGGAATTATCTGCTGCCTCTCTAGTGCAGCCGGGTAGGATCTGCAGCCTTTGTGCCAGGCACTGAAATCTTGGCTCCTTTGTGCATGCAAAATAAGACATTTCTCTGTAAGAAAATAGAGGGAAACAGCGTATGAAAGGGGGATGTTTTTATCTTGCCAAACAGGAATAGTCGCTTCCAATTGCTGTCTCATCTCCATCTCCAAATCATCAACCAATAGGTACCTCCTTTTCTTCTGCGCTACTTTGCCAGGAATAAAAAATAATTTGATGTCAGTCGTGCAATATTAAGCGGTATTATTTCCAGGGGCAAGTGTAGTGGAAAAATGACAAAAGAATCAGAGTGTTTGCAGCATATTTTTGCTTCCAACTTGACATACAACAAAATACTGCCCTTATTTCATGTGCTTTGTGCAACTGTGTCTCTGGCTTTGTCTGACGTGTGTGCTGAGCCTTTGTGCCCCTTCCCAGCCAGGGCTGCTCCCTGATCCAGCACTCGCTGTAGGGCAGAGCTGATCCGCGTTCCTGGCCTGGGGATACTGACTCGTAATGAAGTTGCAGGTGCCCAAATGAGAAAATGCCTTAACAAGCTCTGTGCATAGTGTGATGCTGAGTACCACGAGAGGTTGCTGTAAAGATTTCAGTGAGCTTCCGCACAGCGGTAAGAAAGAGATGAGGTAGATCTTGCTGGTTATTGTCAATGCCCGAAAGATCGTGCGTTTGAATATTTTAATTCTTAAAGCAAATGAATATCTTAATTTGTCCCCTGAAGTATCAGAAAACTCCCTTCCCATTTCTGCTGCAGGAATAAAGCTTCTAAATATGGATGCCTGATAACATCCCTGCTAGGTAATAGCTCGCTGTGCTGCCGTGATGTGCCAAGCGTTCCTCATGTGCAGCGGCTCTCCATTCCCCCGCGGGAGAACAAAGGAGAAACGGGATCACAAAAAAGGACAGAGGGATGCAGCACGCTCCGGGCGATCTCTGCCTGCGCCAGGAGGTGGTAGCCAGACGCAGGGGGCTGTATGCTGGAGGAAGGGGGTTTCAAGCTTTCTTTCTCGCTTGCCCGCTGTCAGGTGCGGGGGGCCGGTGGGCAGAGCCCTCCCAGGGCGGATGCTTGATCTGCACGAGGTTGGGACCAGCCTCCTCTGGACGCCCTTTAACTGGCGCCGTGTGTGTGGAGCAGGGGGTGCCCGGGCTGTGCCATGGCAGGTCCTGCTCGGCCACCCCCTCCTGCTGCCAGGGGGTGGGCTGGCAGTGACGGGCACGTCTGCCAGCACCCTCCTCCCGGGGCACCTTCTGCGCCGGGCGCGGGGAGCGTCTGGCAGCCGTCGACCTTTCTGCTCTGCTTTGATGGCACAGACTGTGTGTGTCTTTCAAGCACAACTTTGAAATGAAGGGATTGATTTTTTTTTTTGTTTTTTTTGTTTTTAAATGACATCTGTGGGTGGGAGAACCAGAAGGCAGCTCCCCAGCGTCTGCACCTTCGCGCAGAGCCCTGCTCGAGGAGACGGGGGAGCCTGTCAGGGCTGGGATTCGAGCGCGCCACTCGTGCTACGGCAGCTCTACCTTGCACCGGCCTCCTGTGACTTGTCTCAGCAGAGCGTCACTCTTCACATGCCGTTCGCCCCTCAGAGGTATTGCAAAGGAATAACTGCGGTTGCTGCCCTGTGGCCTGAAGCTCTCGCACTTGTGTGGCCACTTCACCATCCGCTTTATGCGCTCAGCCACGGCACAAGAGGAGCCGGGGGTCGGGGGGCACCAGTGGCTGTGGAAGCGGCCGGTGCCCCAGGGTTTGTTAAACAGGAAGAGAAGAAAATCAAAATGTACTGTACTTGCTGCA